TGATTCCATGTGATTAGATCTAGAGTATGATTACGACAATGAGTAGGTCATGACATGTGTTGTCTATTATTTAGTTATTATTATTTAAATGCCAATCCCAATGCATCTTTTTCATTATCTACATGTATATTAAAATCACCAACAAGTAGGAATTTATCTGCAGTCAGTACTAACTCTGTTAGAAAGTCAGCAAATTCTTTGATAAAATCTTTATGGTGCCCTGGTGGCCTGATTGCAGTAGCCAGCACAAATCTCAAACGTGATTCATAATTTACCCTATATATTGTTACATTAAGCACCAACACTTCAAAATAATTATATTTGAAACTAGACTTCTTAGTAATTTTGAAAATATTACTATAAATTACAGCAACACCTCCCCCTTCGCCTTTCAGACAAGGTTCATGTTTATAACAGTAATCTTGCGGGGTTGACTCATTTACAGTAAAATGGCAGATCTATTCCTTCAAGACCAAACATGTCAACATTGGCATATGCATTACCATGCCAAACACTCAGAGAGTTCATGACAGAACTTTGTTTTTTTTTCACATAAATCACATGAACAAAAGTAGAACTATAAAATCACATGCAAAAAATACAGAAATACAGTGAAATCAACACATCCCACAATACAATGAAATCAAGATTGTATAATATTGTAAGATAATATATTCATCATAAAATGTGTCCAACCAATTACAAACATCAAACAATCAAATAAACTAACTAATACTAATTACATCTAATACCTTATGTATAAATGTTTCTCACATTTCATATAAATATAACCAAATAAACATACACATGCATACATACATTACTGACTGACCCCTGACCCCCTAACTGACCTCTGACCTCCCGACTGTCTCTCAAGCCTGATTCAGGGATCCTCTCTTCCTGACTTTTCTCAAGCCCACTGTCAGAATGACCCGATCATGTTCCTGCCGCCCATAACATGTGTCCATTTCCTGTGAGTATCAGTAGATAGTAGAAACATTGACTATTGGTGCGTTCAAGTCTTGACAGAAAGATGGTATTTACGAGTTGAAAGCACATGAACTCCGTCAAAAAGTCATAATTACGAGTGGGAAGCAATGGCGGAAGCAAATTGTTTTTAATGAAGAAGCTACTACTCCTACTATACTAATACTACTAATACTATACTACTAATACTACTACTACTACTCATCCTCCTCCTCCTCCTCCTCCTCCTCCTCCTCATACTACTACTACTACTACTACTCCTACTATACTAATACTACTACTACTACTCCTACTATACTAATACTACTATACTACTACTACTACTACTACTACTCCTCCTCCTCCTCCTCCTCCTCCTCCTCATACTACTACTACTACTACTTCTATACTAATACTACTACTACTACTACTACTATACTAATACTACTACTACTACTCATCCTCCTACTACTACTCATCCTCCTCCTACTGCTACTACTACTACTCATACTACTACTACTACTACTACTATTACTAAAAATGGACTGCATTTATATAGCGCTTTCACAGACCCAATGGCCACCAAAGCGCTTTACATATTGCCTCTCAGTCACCCATTCATACACACATTCATACACCGACAGCGGTGTCAGCCATACAAGGCACCATCCAGCTCGTCGGGAGCAGCAGCTGGGGTACGCCCCAATACTACTACTACAACAACTACTACTAATACTAGAACAAATACTACTATTACTACTACTACTCTTACTCCTACTACTACTACAACAACAAATAGGCTACTACTATTACTACTACTACTACAACAACAACAACAACAAATAATAATACTACTATTACTACTACAACAACAACAACAACAAATAATACTACTATCACTACTACTACTACAACAACAATAACAAATAATACTACTACTATTACTACTACTACAACAACAACAACAAATACTACAACAACAACTACTACTACTACTACTACTACTACTAAAAGTAATAATAATAACAACAACATCAATTACACAAATAATTCACATTCTTTGAGTTTTCCGAGCTCGTAAAATCTTCCCAGGAGGACTTTAATGCACCATATGGTCCTAAACCTATTGATATTGCACAATGTTGACATGAGGCAACAAACCTAAAAAAAAAAAAAAACAGTTTTAGTATAAAACTTTAAACAATCAAACACAGTTTGATGCTCATGCATTTATTTTTTTATTTAAAGTTATTTCAATTATACCTTTAATTATTTCAAAAATATATATTTCAATTTAAAAAGAGCTGACCTTGAAAAAGCCATTCATGTCTTAATCAGCTCGAGGATAGACTACTGCAATGCCTGGACTTCATCAATCACTCCTCAATAGGCTTCAACTGGTACAAAATGCAGCAGCACGTCTCCTCTGCAATGCCACCAAACGCTCACATATCACCCCAGTCCTCCGCTCGCTCCACTGGCTCCGGGTGCGGTTTAGGGTGGAGTATAAGGTCCTGCTGTTCGTGTTCAAGGCCATCAATGGTATGGCCCCGGCCTACCTCGCCGAATTACTAACGGTCTACCAACCAGAACCCTGCGCTCCTCTGAACACACCTCTCTGGTGAATCCAAAGTTCAAATATAAAAAGTTTGTAGGTCGGTCATTTGCCGTCCAGGGCCCAAAGCTGTGGAACGCACTTCAACCACACCTACAAAGCATCACCATGTTGAGCGTTTTTAAATTGCCGTTGAAAACGCAACTATTTAGACAAGCTTTTAACACGTAGCCTCCGACATGACTCGATTGCTATTTTTATTTACACTTATGTTTTTATATACTGTTGTCTATTGATGTTTTTACTGGAAAGCGCCTTGTGCACCTTTTGGCTGTTGTAAGGTGCTCTAAAAAATAAAAATTTGATTGATTGATGTTAAAAAGTAATATTTTGGTAACACTTTATTTCGATAGTCCACTTTAGACATTCAACTAACTATAAGTAACATTGCAGCTGCATGTCAACTAACTGTCATTAGAGTATTAGTAGACTGTATGCTTAATATCCGCTAACACTTTTTTTTGTTGGTCCCCCAACAGACATTTTATCTAATTTTATAAGTAACTTAGACTATAAGTAACTTAGCAACTACAAGTGAACTTGTTCTCCTATCCCGAACCCTAACACCTAACCATAACCTAACAGCCTATTGACAGTTTACTACAGCCTACTTAAACTCTAATGACAGTTAGTTGACATGTAGTTGAAAAGTTACTTATAGTTAGTAGAATGTCTAAAGTGACTATCGAAATAAAGTGTAACCAATATTTTTCTTACCAATTGGTGGCATGTCACATGTGGGTTTGCCTCCTGAAATGATGCTCCACCCCCAAACTAAAGACCACACCCACTTCAGCCCCTCATTTCACTGAACAGACATGCAGATGATAATTAGGCTATATATCATTTTAAATTTTAAATAAATAAAAAAATGAAAGGAGCAGTGTAAGGTCCAAAAAGGAAGTTTGTTGCCTGAGATCAACATCATGTCATCTTGTTGTGGCCAACTATCAGTTCATTTGTACATATGAGTTCATATTGAGTCTCTGATCATTTGAAATGAATTACATTTCATTACATTTATATAGCGCTTTTCTAGGCACTCAAAGTGCTTCACATGGAAGGGGGAATCTCCTTAACCACCACCAATGTGCAGCATCCACTTGGATGATGCGACGGCAGCCATATTGCGCCAGAACGCCCACCACACACCAGCTTACTGGTGGAGAGGAGACAGAGTGATGAAGCCAATCAGTGTATATATATATATATATATATATATATATATATATATATATATATATATATATATATATATATATATATATATATATGGGGATGATTAGGAGGCCATGATGGACAGAGGCCACTGGGCAAATTTGGCCAGGATGCCGGGGTTACACCCCTACTCTTTCGAAAGACATCCTGGGATTTTTAATGACCACAGAGAGTCAGGACCTCGGTTTAACGTCTCATCTGAATATTTAAAAGATAAGTGAAATATCTTATTATGAATATCTTTGTTTACTTTATTAAAAACAATCATAGTGGGCTTTAAATTTTAACAAATTGCTGCAAATTAGATAAAATAGGATAAAAACACTTAGATGATGAAGAATTTTATCTCATATTACAGAAAGAATGTTTTTAATAAAATAAAAAAGGATGGAAAATATGCAGATCCTGCCAGATTTGAATGACATTGGATTATTTGTTTATCAATCCTCAGCATGTTTGTTTAATAAAGTAATTGTTTTACCTATTTCAAAAGCATCCACTTGATCAGCAACAGGGATTGTGATGTTACTGCAGATCGCCGGTCCACAGTTTGTGTGTTTTAGGGTCCTAATGTTCTCCAGGTTCAGGGTCTGCTAACACACATTAAGGAAACTTTTTAAAAGGTCGGGACTCATTTTTCAAAGGCCCCGTTCACTTTATTAACTTACTACTAACCCTAACCCTCATTCAAAGAAGATCTGGCCTTTTGTGATTCTGTTTCTCCAACCATTTCTTCAGTTCATCAAGTCGATCCTGTTTTACTGAGAGCCGAAGCGCTGAGAACAGAAACACCTTTGACCAGCAACATTTGAGTTTTTATGTAACGAAACTTTATGATAAAAAGGCTGTATATTTCATTCACTGATATGTTGTAGAGTTACATTAGACGCACATTAGATGTCACATGGGGATTTCACTTTAATCACGGTCTGTCTTCTGTGTGTGACTGTGTGAACGAACAAAATAACAGTGAGAACAATCTCCATCAGAACTGATCTGGATCATATAATTTTCTAGATTAACCGAGCTGTAACAACTTTAATAAATGAGTAGTTAAATATCTTAGACTGGATCTCTCTTTTCTTTATCTGTGTATTTCCGTGAAGAGTTTTGTCTCCTCCTCCCTCATCTCTTCTCTCAAACACAGGAAGTGTGTGTTTTAGCACACAGCGCTGTTAAATCAGTCTATTAATGTGTCAGTATGGGCTCCAGTGCACTGCCTCTCATCTGTGAGTATCTGATCATATTCTATAATCTTCTTTTTTTCTGCTTTTAATTCAATGTATTCAGCTGAAGATGGGATACAATAATGACTGTTGTGTAGGAGAGTCTATGAGTTCACAGCATCACTGCTTATTGTATTATTTATTGATCAGATTTAATGTGATGTTGTTACGTGTTGATCAGATAAAGAGTTTGATGATGTATTTATCTGTGTGATAATGCATGTGAAAGATGGAGGCAATGCATGTATTTTTGCTTAGTTTTGTTGTAATATATTTATTCCTATTTTAATTAGTTCAGATAAATCAACACTCTTAGAAAGAATGTGTTAAAAATGACACAACTTGTGTTAAATTTTAACACATCCATGGGTGAGCTCCAGGACCACTAGTTGTGTTCATTTTAACTCATTCACTGTGTAAATGAGTTTAAATGAAGTTCCTAAACGTAAGTTAGGGAGGAGCGAGCCCATCCAATCTTTCAATCAACAAACAGAGTATATAAGCAGCTGCTTACCTCTCCCTAGTATCAGCTGTTCCAGTATCCCTTCACCTCCCCAAACTCCACCTTCATCTCAGGTACCTTGCCCTTTAATTAACAGGTCCTACATTTAGCCACTGGGGGGTATATCAGAGCTCGAGTTGAAGCTGCTTCATCGAGCCCCTCTCCAGCGGACAGCAAGCCAAATAAGTTTAACCTAATATCTTAAAGATTTTATGGGCAAACGAACTCGTTAACACACTATATGTGTCAGAAAGGTTACCAAGATGTGTAAAAGATGTGTAACATTACCACATTACGTGCTATCCTTGGCTACATGTATTGTGTTAAAAAGGTATCTAAAATCCTAAACAAACATTAGCATTTGACAAAACAAACATTAAGTCTGTGGTTTTATTATAATGAAATATCAACAATTAAATTCAATCCAGAATAGAACAATACAATTTAAAGCAGTCAAAAATGAAATGTCCAACATAGGACAAAACGGTTCTTTTCACAATCTCATGGTAACATAACACATAACCCCACCTTTAAAATAATTTCACTTATTTCCAAACATTTGTGGATTGATGGTGGCCCCTAACCAGGTGAACTGGATAAATATCGTGAAAGTTCTGATCCCATCTGACTTCTGACCTATTATGCTAAATCATAATCATACACTGTTGGTTCGTTGGCCAAAGGGGGACTGGCCCCCTGACTGAGTCTGGGTTCTCCCAAGGTTTTTTTCTCCATTCTGTCACTTGATGGAGTTTTGGTTCCTTCACTGTCGCCTTTTCCGCCTTTCCTCGCCTTTGGCTTTTGGCTTGCTAGTTGGGGACATTTACCATTTAATTTTGAATTTAACAATACTATTACAACTTTACTTTCCTGTTATCTCTGTAAAGCTGCTTTGAAACAATTTGTATTGTAAAAAGCGCTATATAAATAAAGGTGACTTGACTTGGCCAAAAATGTAGAAAATATAAAGCATTTTAATGTTTGTAATGTTCTTGTGCTCACCAAATATTTAATTTGATACAAAAATACAGTAAAAACAGTAATATTGTGAAATATTATTACACTGTAAAACAGCTGTTTTCTATTTGAATATATTTGCAAATGTAATTTATTCCTTTGATGACAAATCTGAATTTCCAGCATCACTAATATGATGATTTGATGCTGAAGAAACTTTTCGGATTATTATCAATGTCTGTACTCCTCCCTCTTTTCCAAAGCATAGGATTAAAGTCATAAAAAACAGTCCTTAAAAAAGCCAACACTGTAAAAAAATTGCTGTAGTTATGCAGCTGTTTGCCAGTAACTTACTGTAGATTTAAATTGATGTATATTTACTGGCAACAGTTTGTTCAAAGTTAATTGAACATTAAACATTAACAAGTCTCTGTCTTTACAGAATAAAATGATAAAATAACAATCTAATGCAAAGCATTCTGGGAACCAGAAATCTTTTTCAACCTTTTTCTGTTTTTTTTTTTCCTTCAGATTTTGGTTCCCAGAATGCTTTGCATGAGGCTGTTATTTTAGCTTTATTCTGTAAAGATAAAGACTTGTTAATGTTTAATGTTCATTTAACTTAGAACAAACTGTTGCCAGTAAATAACATCAATTTAAAACTACAGTAAGTTACTGGCAAGCAGCTGCCAGTAATACTGTAATTTCTACAGATTTTTTTTACAGTGAACCTTTTGGAATAAGCATATTTTGTCTTGTGTAGCCAGACCTATCCCTGGACTCGCAGCTTTTCTTGACTAAGGACTGCCCAAGAGGTCTGACATGTAACGCTACCAATTTACAGTTTGTTTTGTTCTGCGTCATGTTTAGGGGCGTGACAATAATGTCGATGTCCCTAAACAACAGACTGGCGTGCATCTAATAAATTATTGATTCAAGAACGTTGAGCAAGTTTACTGCAACAATGGAGCCGCGAACTTCATATACGTTTGAAAATCCAGCGTTTAGTTGATCCTGGTAAGCGCTCATTGTCACAGTTGTAAGCACAACAGCGTTCTTCTTCCACGAGGGGTTTTGGTGTCACGGCATTTGTTTCCAGGCGGACCGATAAAGAACACGACACGCACGTCTCCCGAACATCCTGTAGAATTCAACCAATCAGATCGCGACTTTGAAACTCCTGAAACTTCTGTTTCCAGAAAAGTGAGACATATGCATCAGTCACCTGTTCCCTGGATGCATGCATGTCCACAAACACAAATGTGCTCAGTTTTTCTTCAGAGAAGATCGCAGTTCCAACACTATATAAAAATATAAGAGGGAAAGAGAGAGAGGAGAATGTTACACAAGTATAAATTGTTTTTAATCTCCATCATACTATAATTCAGAATAAATATTTGTAACACTCTTTTCTCAGCATGTTTAAACATTTCAGCTGACTGGTAAATGCTTACATTTCCTTAATTCTCTCCAAAAATGCTGAGATTCATAGACGTAAATACTGCAATCAAGGATTTAGCCAGTTTCAGCTTGTTTGCAGAGTTTGAGCCGTTAAGATACATGCAAGAAATCCCCAAGTGATGATGTTTTTCTTTCCCTCAGTTGTAAACCCACCTGTGCGCTGATATGCTGAAATCATATTAGGCACCTTCCTGGTCAGGTCGGACTCTTCGGCCTAATAATAGATCAAAATAATGCAAAAATAAAAACTATAGTTGTTTAGAATTGATTTGATATGAATTAATGATTTAGTGAGTTTTACTGCAATGCTTACCTGAATAAATTCAATCTTGTGAGACTGAACAAAGAAAATTGTCCATCTTCTGATTTTGCTGTGTACTAAATATTAGACATAATGCAAAAGTGACTTATTTGACATAAAGTTAGCCAATGTATATATTGTATGCTACCAGTAGCTCAAGTCAAGATCACTTAGCACATATAGGGACGTCCCGCGTGACGTCACGCCATTTGGAGCAGCCATCTTGACGGAATAGAAAATGCTAAACCGCCGGTGATAATACCAAGGGGGTAATCCACCAGCCGGAAACTGAAGTCTCCCCGGGGGCCGCCATTGGTTAGCAACCCTTCACCTGCTGTTAGCATTCCATTGACTCCCATTCATTTTGGCGTCACTTTCACAGCGAATAACTTTACATCTGAGGCGTTTAAAGACTACGTTTGTCCATTGTTTATTTCTAAAGAAACACGACAATGTATAAAATGCTCCATTACTTTGTATCTTACGTTATGGCCCTGTAGAAGCAGTTTTTGTAAAAATAGGCTAACGATTGCGTCATAACACGCGACTCTCTGTCGCACAGTAGAAAAATTACCGTATAGACAGAAGTAGAAGCTCGCGCGCAATCGGGGGGACGTGGAGGCATAAAGTCAAGGGAGAAGCCCATAGAGAGTCATAAAGTTGCTCCTGCTGCGAGCTCATGGACAGCTAATACTCACGAACTCCGGCTCTGCAAGATTCAGGAGGGAATGATTCAGATTCCTCTTGGCACCGCTACTAGAAGACGTACAACTGAGAGACAGGTTGCTCACGTCACATCTACGTCGTCCAGCTCAGTTTGAGCCTGCGCAGTGCGCTTGGCAATCAGGAAGTGAGTGCTTCTAATTGACTTCACTTTTCTCCGTTGAAGTCTATGGGGTCGCTGTGTCCATTTCTTTTACTGTCTATGGATAATACAGCTCGTCGCAAAATATTCCTATCATGCCCGAGCGATGCTGTGTATTTGGATGCGATCAGATACGTGATCATACAAAAGGAATATTTTTATACCATATCCCAAAAGAAAAAAAACGGAGAAAAGTGGTTGGTGGCAATAAACAGGCAAAACGCATACATGCATTCCTAGATCAGTTAATTCGTTAGGCATATTATCACATTACTGTCTTTCGTTTTCAAATACCAAAAGCTGATCTTGTATTTTATTTGACACTTCTTATAAATCGTTAGAAACACAGGTTGAGACAACAGTCTCAATGACAGTTTATCATACAGTGACCGTCAGTGATAAGTATATAAGCATAGGCTATTATTTCGTTTTTCTTGGATCAAACCAGATTAAACAAATTCATTAAAGATACACTTAATCTTGTTGGTGATTTTGTTTTGTCTTTTTCCCTGTAAACTCAGTTTAAAAATTATTACAGGTAGTAAAAATAACACATGAAGTGTGTAAGCACATCAGTCTACTAATATATTGTGTTAAATGCTTTGAGTAAATTCCCTAGTTGTGTAAATTTTAAACTACACACAGATATGTGTACAATAGGATATGATTTATTGTTGAATGATGCTGTATCTTTAAATAATCTCTCCATCAGAGACTCAGAGAGCTTGAGAACAGAGACCGAACACACAATCAGCTTCTCTATCACTTCTCTTTCTCTCTGACTCTCTTATTGAGAAATAATGTTGTAAAAGTGTCATTCTACACAAACAGTTTTTCAAACAAAGTAGAGCTTTTCTAAGAACTAACTTCTCTTTTCTGAGACAATTTCAGTTATTTTTAACCAGTTCGCCTGAACT